GCCATGTTGGGAACACCAGAGCTCTCAGACCTCTCTTATCCCTCCAAAATGATCTCATTTGGCATTAGATTTGGTATTTTTGTTGACATACATTCTCTGATTTCCTGTGCTTTCATAGGAAGAAGAGGAGCAGGAAGAAGGAGGTGAAGGAGCAACAGGAGACCCCAAAAAGGAGAAGAAGTCTTTAGATTCAGATGAGAGTGATGAAGATGATGAGGATTATCAGGTACTGCCATGCTCAGGGCACTTCACACACTGGCACCATGAATGCTCTTGAGTCAGGGTTCTCTTTGGGATTTACCTAGAGTCAATTGTTCTATGGAAGAACTATGTTTAGAAGCCCCAAAAGCCTCACTGGGCAGCATTTTGTCCTCAGAGTGAAAACTCATGTGTATTCATCACTGAAATACAGAGGCAGGAAGATGTTTTAGAGGGCTGAAATGCCTGGTGGGAGCAGCCTTGGTTCATAAATGGTAGCAAGATCTTGAGTGGTGCTTTTGGGATACTCTGCAGTGTTTGCTGAGCTCTGATCCAACACTCTGCTGGCTGTGGGAGAGCTGCTCAGCTTTCCTCTTGTTTTTGACCCGCAGCAAAAGCGCAAAGGAGTGGAAGGGTTGATAGACATAGAGAACCCCAACCGTGTCATCCAGACAACCAAAAAAGTAACTCAGCTGGACCTGGATGGGCCTAAGGAACTCTCCCGACGAGAGAGGTGAGTCTCTCCTGCTGCCTGGGGGGAGCTGCTGCATCCCTGAATTCCATCCCTGCAGCTTGGCATGGGGAGGTGTTTCTCTGCTCTGTGTGTCTTGGTGTTTCAGGGAGGGTCTGAAAGTGTGTTGCTGCCTAAAGCAGACACTGAACAGCAGCAAACTGTCAAGCAGGGCTCAGTCTGGTTCAAAATGTTCCTTACAAAGAGCACAGAAGTTGTGTCCTCTGGGAGCAGCTGGAGCCAGGCAGCTTGGCCAGGTGCACTGGAGGAAGGGATTTAGGGCATTCCTTCCCTGAAGTTTTATAACAAAAATCAGATGGAACTGAAACCCTGCAATCATATTGCTGTGGAATGGATTTAGGCCATTCCTTCCCTGAAGTTTTGTGCCAAAAATCAGATGGAACTGAAATCCATTTGCCAGAGGTCACCTTGGCTCTGCTTGAATCTCGCTGCAGAAGGTGCCCTGGTGACAGGTGGTGGCTTCCCAGATTCCAGGTGAAATTTTGTCTGAGCAGATGAGTAAGCTGAGAACCACAGTTTAATCTTCTAGTTTCATTTAGCAATGGTGAGTTTCAGAGGGAAAGATTTAA